AGCGCCAACTTATCCGCGATCACATTCGGGAGAATCTCCATCAGGCATATGAACGCAGCAGTCAGCGCTATAACAAACGGGCGCGAGTTTTCCATGCCAAGCCTGGCCAAGAAATCTACAGACGCAATTTCACTCAGAGCAATTTTGGAAAGATGTACAATGCCAAGTTTGCTCGAAAATATGTGAAATGCCGAGTCATACGCCCTATAGGGAACAATGCCTACGAATTGGAGGATCTGGGGGGAAGCCTGTTGGGATTTTCCACGCAAAAGACCTAAAAATGTAAATATAAATAGTGGATGTAGCTGTACCCGTACACACGCATACTTACATATATACCTGGGTAGCAAAACAAGAGTCTAGTGGGTGTAGGCCTACGTTGGGCACAAAAGGCGAATCGGGGGGCAAAGCAGGATAGCAAAGTTGTTGTTTTGATTATTAAAATCACTATAAACACAATTTCACGGTAAGTCAATCTTTCAATGTTTACAAATAATTCGCTTCGGCCAGCATTCTCGCGAATTTTTGTGTGGTGTTGCAATTGAAAGCTATCGACAGGGGAATATCGCCCTAAGAGATGGTAGTGTGACCAGTTTTTCAAAGGTTAGCAGGGCCAAGAAAGAGAGGGGAAGTGTGGAGAGTAAGAGGCGCTCTGGTTGACGGTCAGAAAAGAGAACCTTAATCCGCTCTTAGATTCCACCACCTCCCCTGGCCCAGAAGTATCTCCACCCACACCAAACCATGAGGAACTGCACCCACACCGATAGCTGAATGAGAGCCGAGCGGCTACGTGATGCAAATGGAAGAGGTCTCTGCCGTTGGCGAAAAACCGAGAAAGGGATCAGGGAAAAAAATCGGGTGATGCTGGTGCTGGGCAGAGGGTATAAATAGGGCTGAAAGGGATCAGGCCACCACGAGTTCCGAAAAAATTCTTACAGCAGCAAGTGGTTCGGAAAATTGAAGTGAAAATAATATATATAATATTAAAAGTGAGTTAGATGATGGGGTAGTGGCCATCATTCTAAAGTGTAGTATCATGATAATATAACGAACATCTTCAGAAAAGGAAACGGGACGAGTTTGGCCGAGGAAATAGAACAGGCAACCGGGACCGGGAAAAGAAGGCACCGTCAACGAAGAAGTAAGTCCGTTCCAAAGAAACAATTTAATATAAAAAGAAAAAAAAGGGAAAGTAAATTTAAAATTTTCCGGTTAAGGCACCGTTGGCGAAGTAAACAAATAAATAAATAAAATAAATTATACGATATCTGGACCACGTGCAACCGGCTCCGGGCCAGACCACGACAGGAAGAATTATTCCTTTAACCATATACATACCCAAAACCTTTTGATTTAGCCGCACCACACTGGCACGGGATTTGTTTTCGTTGAAATTTTTCTTGTCGACTATAAAACAATATTGCTCTACAAAAGTTAAAATATGAACTCAGCATTGATGAAAGACTTAAAATAGTTTTTAAGTAAATTAAATAAAACATTCCCCCTTAATATTAGTTAAAATTTCGTCCCAATAATTTAAAGGAAAGTCGTTCGTCCACCTTGATCTAAGTTTATATGTTAATTTATTGAATTATTTATGCACCACTAAACTTATATATATATCCCACATACATACATCATATATTGTTTATTAACATATGTCCTAAATAATTTAAATAGTATTTGTAAGTAAAAAGAATTTGATATAATCAGAATTTCGTGAAACTAGGAAAAGAATATACATTTGCATAAAATTACATATGTAAATTTGCGGAGGTCTCGCAGCAGTTGGGATGTAAATTAGCAAGTAAAGTAAATAACCTACACAACTATATGCGAATGTAGAAAGAGGAAAAGTCTCACAATAATAAGTTTAGAAACCCCGAGATAAAAATGATCTCAATATTAAACCCCTGGTTGGAGCTCCAAATAGGTAGGGTAATTTAAATGAATAATCATGAATTGATCAATATTTATATATTCGTATATGGGTCAACAAAGGTGTAATTAAAAATTTAAATCAATTTCAAAGGAAGTGTTGCCGTATGAATTTGACATCGCAGCTGTAGCAAGGGGATGCAAATATATGCGTTAGGTTAACAGGAGATATAAAGCAAAAATTTAAGATGAATGTTTATGGTTAATAATAAAATTGTAACGTGAGGATGTTGTGCTAAGTGTTCGTCTATGGGGAGGGGGAAATGAGACTGACCTTGGAGTAGGCTGATGATAGCCATCGGAAGGGAGATTTGGCGAAGGATGCATGCCGGATCTCAGGCAGGGTGGGGGTGTCGGAGTACATCACCTAAACTCCAAATTGTTCGGTGCAAGTAAAGTTTCCAGTAACGTCCAATGTTTATCATTATTTATCCTATTTTGTTTGCATTTCGTTTTGTTTACATTTGATTTTATTGATGTCGTCGGACTGAGATGGCCGATCAGCTGGGCTACTGTGCGGGCTGAGGGCTGGGAAGAACCCCACCACGAGATGGACTGGCTAGCCGGCCTTGCCCCATCGAAGAACCAGGTCCGTAACAAACTCAAACTGCCACCGTTAACCGTTAAAGTTTTCTTCTTTTTCAAAAAATTTATTGCGTTAAAGTGAAAAATCTAAGTTCTTTGAATTTCACAAATATTTTGGCTGCGGTTAGAGAAAAAATTAATATTAGCCTGATTTTATTGCCGCATTAGTAGACTTTTTTAAATGTGCCTGATTTCATTGGCGCTTTAGCATTTAGCTAATGCTACTCCGAAATGTGAGTGGCACAAACAGCTGATTTGGGTTTGTTTACTTTTTAAATTTTCGCAAATCAAAACGAAATGAATCAAAAATCATGAATATGAAAGAGTTTACGGATATCTTAAATGCCCAACAGGACAACCATAATGCGACCGAGGCATTTGCCACTTGGACGACAAGGAAAGGGAGCTGATGGTGTTGTTTGACGGGCTTACAAAGGAGAGCACTACAGTTTCTAAAAACGAGCAAGGATCCTCGTATATGTGGGAGTGTTTTCCTGCCAGATATCCAGCAGTAATGCATTGTGGTACTGCGAGCAGAATTTGAAACATCTGTTATAGTGGTGGCACGAACAAAATACTGTTAAAAATCAGTATTTTCCGGTATTTTTTCAAAAAATGTTCGGGGGATTTTATTCGCATTTATTTTAAATGCGACATTAAAATAAATGCGACATTTAGCCTTATGAAATTCCCTTTGTAAATAAATGCGCATTAGGCTAAATGCGTTTTAATTCGCTTGGATAAAGTTCACAGCCCAACAAAATTTCTCTTTTTTCTTTATACAAGCACTTGACTATGGTAAATTAGCCTTTTATAAGCATAGTTTCCCACAAAAGCTATGGTCCATCGGATCTGGTATTTGCTAAATTTGTAATTTAAGAAAATCACGTTTTCTTTTCTTTAGTTTGATAATATCATTAAGAATGGTCAACCAATTTTAGTACACTTTTTGCCAAAAAAAGGTCTTATGGTTCTTCTACATGGTCTGTTTTGATTTGCTTCCCTAACCTAATCAGAAGCAAAAACGTAAGCATTTTAATTTTCAAAATCAGTGAAATTAAAAAATCTCAATTTGTGAACAGCGTTTAAACTGTCTATAACTGATTTTAAGACAACGTGCTCAGTAATATGCTGGTGTGGCATACGGCTGCGAGAGTCACATACAACACACTTTACATAAGATCAACCTTTCTGACGAAACGGAACTACCGGGCGTAGTAAGACAACTTAACGGCACCGTCGATACCTTGGGCATAGTTGACATTCATAACATCGATGTTTTCAATGTTTTTGAAAATATCATCGATTTGACATCGATGTTTGCAAAAAAAAAATTTCAACGAGGAGTTCTTCAAAGAAAGTTTTCGAATGGAGAAGAGGACATTTTCTATGTTAGTGGCCAGACTAGGAGTTATGCGGAAAAAGGATACCAACTGGCGAAATGCAATTCCTCTTGAAAAGCGGATTGCCATTGTCTTGTACACCTTGTGGTCGTCATCGGAGTACCAAACAATCTAAAGACTTTTCGGAGTTGCTCCATGCACTGTCCGTAAAATTCTCAATAAATGTTGCCGGGCTCTCATTGCCGAGTTTTCTGGTGAATTTATGTCACCCGACTTCCTAACTCCCGAAAAGAAGTTCGAAGCAATTGGGTTTCCCCAATGTCTAGGTGCATTTGGTAAAAAATCAATTCATCAAATCAGTTCATTGTTGTAAGATATTTCATTTTTAGATGGATGCCATATCAAAAAAAAACCCGGCAGTAGAAGAAGCAGTCGACCACCATCATTTCAAAGGGTGGTAGTAGTACAATTCGCTCTCGTGGATTTCAGGCAAGCTACCTTTATTAAAGTGCTTAACAATCTTCTAAATGCATTATATTTTTTTAATTTACTACAGACACAGATTTACCTATGTAAACATCAGGTCTGCAGGGCGATGCAACGATTCACAAATGTTCCTGAAGTTTAGCCTGGCCAAGAAAATTTGATCTTCACCGTTCCTTCAGAAAAAAACCGAGTGCCTTTTGCGGACTCGGCTTTTAGATTTTCCCAAACGCAAATGAAGCCCTACCCATTTTTCACAACCGCATCCGTGGAACATCGAAATTTTAATTACAAGATTGTAATAGGCTAAGCGACTGGTGGAAAATGCTAGGTTCCGATTTATTCGGAAAGGTGTTGACAGGCACCATAAAAAGAATAATGCGGTCATTCTAGCCTGCTGTGTTCTACATAATACATTGATTGAACACAACTGCATCATCAATGATAACTGGCAATTAACTGCAAATGACTTGAAAAACAACCAGATCGGAATAATATAATATTATATTATAATATCAAATTTCAGCCAACCGGCAGAGAAAATTAGATCAGCTATCGCACAATATTGCCTAAATGGAAACAAATAAATTTCTTTGAGTATAATAATGTTCGTTTTTGTTTCATTTTTACTTCAAATTTCATTTTATTATCTTTTTAATTCCCATATTTCTTAAAATTAATATCTATTCTAAATTAATAAAATTTTTTGAGCTTCTTAATATCTGCAGCAACTCAATTAAAACCGGGCCTGGCTTTCTGCCATTTTCGCTAGGATATCCGTTTGTGCTTTCTGCTCCTCCAACCTTTCTCTAGCAATCTGCACTTACTCGGCCTTGTGGTCCACCTTAGCCCGATTCGCTGAAAGCACAGTGCTACCTGAGCGTTTGCTCTCGCTGCAGTTGGAGACTTCAATATCGTCGGGCTCCATGCCCAATGCTTACACAATGTTCTCCACAGTGTCTGCAAATAATACATGTTATTAATTACTTGTAAACAACACAAATGGAAACATACAAACTCTCGTTATCCACCGTGTTTTGCTCCATGTGGTTTTGCATTTTGTGGATGCGGAAGGATTTCAAAAATGAGTTCAGCGACTTGTAGTGGTGCCACACAGAAGGAGCCCCCCGGTTGGCCCAATTTTATTTTTTTCCTGCCTGCAAGGAATAATATAATGGAATAGATTGCCCACGCTTATAATTATTACCTGTACTTCTTTGTAAGCTTCTCAGTTTTATAGGACACATCATGTCCAGCCTCCATTATGGTCTGGGCCAGCTCCATGTACACATGGACATTTTTTTGGGTTCCACGCAATTGCTCTAAATTTTCCTGCCAAATGTCTGAGCAGCATCTCCATCGCCAATGTCCACCTCAGCTTGCCACTGGCTGTTCTTGTACCATCGACCTGTTGCATACCTCTTCGGCGCCTTCTATTTTTCAATTTAAAAATACCAAAAACGTCCCAATGGCATCATGCTTTTAGATAGAGGACATGTTATTAAAATTGTTTCGCTCAATAATATTGGTGTTGCTTGTTACGAACATCGGCTTAATATTAGTTAAAAAAGTGCTGTTAGAAACAGTAATCCACCATCTAGGACAAGCTGGCACAAACTAACAAAATTGCGCGAACATTTATTTCGTCCAAGCATATCGGATTGTTACAGGCTTATGGACTAGTCGCACAGAGAACCATCCACCATCTCTTTCAAAGATGGTCCGTAAGGTTTTGCCATGCCATGGCTATTATTATGCTATAGTTAAAAACGGTTGGGATTTTTGATAAATGGGAAACTCCGATTTCCACAGAGCATTTCCACCATCAACATAAACATAAACAAAATCAACAAGTCAACCATATTTGTTTGTGTTTAACTATTGTCTACTATTGCGTAAATTAGTCCGTCAAAGTCCGTCAAATTTTAACGGCGGACTAACTGGGAAAATTCTTGAACGGCAAAACCTTATGGAACTTCCGTTCAACATCTCTTCAACGGATAGTGGAAGGTGGATGGATCTCTGTGGAAATACACTATTAGAAACGAAAATCAAGTAGACAGATATGCTCTGATAAACAAACTTTACACCAACAGTGTTTTTGGTATATGTTTTGATGAGCCACAGCTGCTTAGATCATATGCTTATGACACTACTTTGTTGGCCTATTCGTTGCTCATAATTTTTTTAACTAAACGATTTTACATAAGTGCGAGCAAGTCAAACGTTTGACGATTTCAAATTATGAATGAAGAAAATTGACAGGGCCAGATACCCAAGAGTAAAAATAAGTGTTTTAAAAAAGTTCAATTTTGCTCAGTCATTAGAGTTGACGACAAAACGGAAAAGTAGCAACTGAAAATTTTTAAACGCTAATATAAGCGGGAAAAGCACAAAAAAGTAAACGAAACAATAAAGTTTGAATTTAACTTTAAAAAGGCAGTGTAACCGTGAACTGATTTCCAAAAAAACCTCAAACAGTACAATGGTTTCTGTCAATGAATAAGGCGAACAATGTAATGAAATAGCTTGATTTTATTGGCGCATTTTAACGCATTTAGCCTAATGCGCATTTATTTACACAGGGAATACCAAAAGAACAAATGCCGTATTTAAAATAAGTGCGATAATTAAATGCGATTAAATACTATTCGCCCAGAACGTTTTAAGAATAAATACCAGAAAATACCGATGTTTAACGATGTTTTGTTGTGCCATTACTACAACAGCTGTTTTCAATATGCAAGGTTAGCGCAATTTTTGATATCTTTTGAATATAAAATCTATTTTGTTTAAAAACTACTAAAACCAAGAGCGCACGCTGCAAATTCTGCTCGTAGGAACTCAATGCATTACTGCTGGATCTCTGGCATAAAATAACTCCCACATATACGGGGATCCTTTCCTTTTTTGTAAACTGTGCTAGTCTCCATTGCAAACTTGTTAATCAAGAGCATCTTGTTTCTTGCTTGTCGTACAAGTTGGCAAACGCCTCGGTCACTAATATTCATTATTTTTAATTAATTTCTTTCGGATTTTCCAAAATTCAAAAGTAAAGAAATTCAGATCAGCTGTTCGTGCCACTCACATGTCGGAGTAGCTGTAGCTAAATGCTAAATCAGGCACATTTAAAAAGTCCACTAATGCGGCAATGGAATCAGGTTATTATACCCGTATCAGGTGTGGCTGTGTTCTGTGGGACTCGCGTTTCACATTTGTAAAAAATCCCAACCGTTTCCAACCGATGTACTGTGTGGGAATATGGTGTTAGAAAAATATTTAAGAGGTATATTTTAGTACTTATTCTAAACCCGTGTTGAATGCCTCTCTCTTTTCTTTCTTTTCGCTAGCAGTTTCCGGCAAGGTGCGTGCAATCATTTTGTGCTCCACGTTATTTAATAATAATTTGTTTCCATTTTTAGCGGTGATAAATATTTTTATCGAGGATAAAAATGGTGGGTTCCTGTAAAGGAGAGGAACACTTTTGTTAAACTTGAAAACATTGTTTAAATAACCTGCAACAGTATTCCACGTGTAGGGATAAAAAAAATTTCTACTGTAAAAAATGTTGACCTATCAGTCGAATTCATTTTCTAACTGAATTTTATATCTGTTTGTATGCGTTGCTTGTGCAGGGTTTCGTTAAGGTAGTCAAGAACAAGCAGTACTTCAAGAGGTATCAGGTCAAGTTCCGCAGGCGTCGGGAGGGCAAGACTGATTACTACGCTAGGAAGCGTTTAACGTTCCAGGACAAGAACAAGTACAACACTCCCAAGTATCGTTTGATTGTGCGTCTGTCCAATAAGGACATTACTGTGCAGATCGCCTACGCTCGCATCGAGGGAGATCGCGTAGTCTGCGCTGCATATTCCCATGAGCTGCCCAAGTATGGGGTTCAGGTGGGTAAAAGCAATGTACATATTTGACAAACTAAACACTACGGACATCCTAATTTTGTTTCAGGTCGGTTTGACCAATTACGCTGCTGCATATTGCACCGGCCTGCTGGTCGCCCGTCGTGTACTTAACAAGTTGGGCCTTGACTCGCTTTATGCAGGATGTACAGAGGTGACTGGCGAGGAGTTCAACGTAGAGCCCGTCGACGACGGCCCGGGCGCTTTCCGTTGCTTCTTGGATGTTGGACTGGCTCGCACAACAACAGGAGCTCGAGTGTTCGGTGCCATGAAGGGAGCTGTTGATGGTGGTTTAAACATTCCCCACTCAGTAAAGCGTTTTCCCGGCTATTCGGCAGAGACCAAAAGCTTCAATGCCGATGTGCATCGCGCTCATATTTTTGGCCAACATGTTGCCGACTACATGCGCATTCTCGAAGAGGAGGACGAGGAAAGCTTCAAGCGCCAATTTAGCCGTTACATCAAGTTGGGCATACGTGCTGATGATGTGAGTACAAGCATAATTTCTCCCGACGTCCACTTTTTAAATTACAGCTGCGTTTTGCTTCCAACAACGCAGCCTGTGCCACTAGTGGACCACATAAAAGCAGTAAACTGTGTTCGAAGTTCTGACGCTTAACAAACTGAACTTCCTGTTATGGTTGCACATTCCGTCCGTATAGTCAGTTCAATAAATGTTAATAAATCACTTCTTACTTTTTCAGCTTGAGGATATCTATAAAAAAGCCCACCAGGCAATTCGTAACGACCCTACCCATAAGGTGACCGCTAAGAAGGTTTCTGGCGTTACGAAGAAGAGGTGGAACGCTAAGAAACTCACAAACGAGCAACGCAAAACCAAGATTGCCGCCCACAAGGCAGCTTATGTGGTCAAACTCCAGTCGGAGACAGAGGCCTAGAAACGCTTGTCACTCGTTGCAATTCAGATTGATATGAAAATAAATAAACATTTGAAATTGCCAATACTACGCATGCATTTAAGTCATTTGAGTCAGTCATTTCTAGTCTTAACAATATTTAAGGTAGAAAACAACGATGGCGGTGGTAGGAGTTGTTTGATTTGGGTGCCCAAAATATTATGGTCGGCACGTAATCGGGATTTTTTGGTCAATATTGATTAAGAAACTACATATGTCTCTCACTTTTGCAACAGATTTTGATTGTCAATACTATGAACAATTTTTTCGAAAAATAACTCAAAGTACATTTTTTAAATCCGAAAACTTTTCAGAAAAGTAGTTTTCAATCGAAACAATATGTTGAATATTTTGGATGTTCCTTAAATGTCTGAATCTTTAAACTGTTGAATATTCAACAACAGCTACTAGTCAATTGTTCTAGCATTGCTCGACTTAGCTTTTACGTGAATTGTAGGAACTATTTGGTATAAGCAAACAAAGATGTTTAGAATGTTACATTAAGCAACGAACTGTCTAAATTTCTTTGTTTGCATATATTTGTATACTTGAATACTTTTATGTTGGGACCTGTGTTGCCTTTTAAAAATTAGTAGAAATGGCGACCATTCGGCTTTTCAGATACTCAACCAACTTAAGACAGTTGAATAGTCCCCAATTCGGTCTTTGAAATATGCTGTCAAAGTTGAAATATCAGATTTTACACAAGGTTGTTTCCATTCACACATTGTAATCTTCGTGTTTAAATAATTCAAGACGCGACAAGAGACAGCTCTTGTGTGACCGACGGGAAGGGAGGAGGCGAAAATCGTATAATGTTCACTTACCCTACGATTACGAATGCATTACTTTACCTCCAGAAATCAGGAGAATGGATTACAACTTGGATTACTTTCAATAGGCATGGCCGCCTTGTAATACTGCATTTCTAGTAATGGAAAACGTACGCAAACAACTTATACTTTGGATATTCTCCAAAACGACTAAACTTAACTATGTATATTATTTGCATATTTTTTGTGGTAACTTTCATGTTGGGACCTGTGTTGCCTTATTCATTTTATTATAACAGAGCCACTATCGTGGCTTTTCAGCAGTTCCTCATTTTTTAGCAGCCTTTGGTCTGCTGAACTGCTAAAATTTCAATGGAACAGCTTACGAACCGCTGACTGAATTTCAGCAGTTCAGAGATTAAGTCATTAAGTTTTAATGGAGTCGAATTAAAATAAAATAAAATAAAAATAAAAAATTTTTTCCCCAAGTAATAAGTGAACCTAAGTCTAATTTTTCCTTTGTAACCACTCCTTAAACTACACCTAATGCCGTCAGCACCAGAGTTCTAACACGAGTAAGATCGAGTCAACTAGATCACCATGACGAAATTTCGCTCAATTTAACTCAACGCACTCGGCAGTAACGAGATCGTATGTGATGCATACCCGAAATAAAAATTCAGAGAGCAAGCAGGCTCGATGCATTATTTTGCTTTTTTCTGCTTTCAATTCATCGTCTCGCTTCGGTTCGATCAGCGTGATTATTATTTGCTTCTTGTTCCTGTGTAAAAAATGCAGATCATTGTTGTTCAGATTTTGTGTACGATGCGATTGAGTTAATTGGGAGCGATCCAAAAAAAATAGAGAGTCATATTTCGTCCCCTTTAACTAAAATATTCTCTTTAAAAGTTGAAATTGAGATCACATCTTCCGAATTTGGTGCGTTGGAGGTTCTTCAAAATAAATCTGAATTTCTCACACATTTCTAAAGGAGCTGTAATAGTGTTTATATCTTTAAAACAATATCGAAGAATGGAAGTCCTTTTACGCCTAGAAAAACCTTAACATAATTTTATTTGACTTTTATTTTTTTTTATCAAGAATAATGATTACTTTTGAGCAAAAAAATATAAATCAAAAATAATCATTCTGGATATTACCGAACCTTTTCAAAATTTCAGCATTTCAACAACCCAGAGGCCGCTGAAAATTTTGTTGAATTGCTGACAAGCCCGGGTAGTCGCTCTTTCCTACTGAAATAAAGAAGGTTACACTGCACCCAACATGAAAGTTAAATAAGGAAATGTCTCCTTCACTGCGTGGTAAACTTGTGACTGGATTATAATAAGGGTATAAAAATTAAAGGACAAACCGTAATTTTCTTTAAGAAAGGCATAAATATGTTTAAAACTTTAAACTTTCGACGCATTCCAGATCCCTGAAAGCTCCCTTTCCTTTTTGTTCGAGACGGGACAAAAAGCAAGTCTTCTTTTAGAACCGATCTAAGAACGAGTCTTAATGCGTTCGATTGGAAGGTAGTTTCAACTTCGGAAACGCTCGGGTTTCCCTTCCATTTGTACTTTACGAAGGAAGCATTCAACAGCGCACTGTTAGAATGAACATAGAAACGTTCCTCGGGAACCTTCTTGGATAGGTTCCAAAGCAAGCATTGCGTAACACATGTAAAGAATGAATATTGATCCCTTCCACAAGAACACATTTAGTATGATTCCAAAACATGCCTTCTAATAGTCTTACCCAAGAATGCAAATATTATCGTTCCCAAAAAAGCTATTGGGAACCTTTTTTTTTCAATTCCAATTTTTATTTATTTCATTTTT